AATTAGGAAGGATGGCGGGGTTGAATAAGCGTCATTGGACTCGGATTAAGATCCGGCTAGGTTATATATACTAGGTATGTAGTCTACATACAGTATAGTAGAGTAGGTACGGGGTACAGCAGTACATGTATGTACTGTAAACATGCTTAAGTAATGTGTGCACCCTGTACAGTAAGGCAACAAGTTCATGCTTTAGGTACCTACTAGGAGATACTCGGTACCTAACCAGATTTAAAAGAAAAAAGAGCCAGGTAATTCAAGCTACCTCTAGGCTTCAAACTTTGATGCTGCCTTCCTTTACTTTAACAAAAGCCTCCATAAAATCGTCAGCATCCTGAGCGCCCTCAAGACTTTGAATAAAGTAAGAGGGGACCCCAGAACCCGATACTTTCTCGCGGAATGCCTTTGCTTCTTCATCTACCCTATCGGCATCAGCATTCGAGCTCGCCCATTCATCCACCTCAGCCTGATCCATGCCCGCTTCGAGCGCAATCTCGTGCAGTACATCGAGGGACGAGATATCTTTCTCGAGCTCATGGTATGCCTCAAATATTCTCTCGACTAGGGCGTCTGTGATCTCGGGCGATCTACTGCGGCTGAGGTACACTAGGCGATGGGCATCTCGCGTATGGGGCCCAATCTTGCCGCCGTGCTTGAAGTGAATTCCCACAGCACGTCCTGCTTGTTCCACGCGTTTCGTAGCAGCGGCCTTCTTCTCCTCGCTCCAGTCCGCCAACTTTATTTCCGCAAGCTTGCTCTTCTCGACACTATGGCCGAAAGTATTGTACCCTAGATAATATGGCCGCCAGTTGATCTTGAAAACATCGTGTTTCCCTCCTGGGTAGACTTTCTGGTATAAGGCGATGGCACTCGCCAGTTTTCGCTTGCCAATATAGCACCACTAATAGCATCGTCAATACCTCGAACCGCCAAAGTCCAGCTAGTCCTAGTTCAACCGAGAATAGGGTGAGGGTAAGCCCTACCGCGCAAACGAAGTCAGAGGCGACATCAATCTCGATAACCGTCATTTTCAATAGCCAGTCTCATTCAGATAGGGTAGCATCATTTACAAAAACGTAACCAGTTGAATGAACACCTCTAGGGGGTCCCGATCTTGCACTATAAAAAGAACTGGGGCTGGGGGGATACGGCTCGGGAGTGGGGACAAACATTGAAGTTCTATAGGTACCTTACAAATAGGTACCTAGCTACCTACATGTATCCATGTAATCCGTGCCTGCTGTAGTTGCAACTAACTCCATCCACAGACAACTAACTTATCAACTCAGTCTGAACTAAATACTAACTAACCTCTACGCCGGTTAAAGGCGCTTCACTGCAGAAGATGAGAATCCTGCTTGTTAATCAATATTCCCCATTCACCTGCCGAAAACAGTCTCATAGTCTTATTACTATATTCCCAGAGACGCACAACAATATTCAATAACCCAATCCTCCCATTATCGATTTCTAATCCCCTAACAACCCCAAGCCTTTCCATTTTACGCAGAACCGATTAGTAACAGAGCAGGGCCTTGTCGGGCTTTCTCACAGCCGCACTCCTAAGCCAGCGATCCGGAGACCGGAGTTCTGGGATCAAACAATCTCGGCTTACAAATACGGAGAGGTTATTCTCACCGCAATCTTTCGAGAACATCGCAGGCACCAGCTATAGCAACCCCTTGCGGGTAAACGCAGGGAGGGGGGGTCGGAGAACATAGTTGATATGTACCTACTACCTAATCTCAGGTAATGCTAGTCTTCGGCTTCTGGGATCCGTCGCTAGACTACTACATCTAGGCGACGAACTACTATAGCATCCTTATTCGCGGCTCTATACAGCCTCGTACCCTTGGTTTTGCGATAGACTAGAGAAGCAGAGATCCCTAATACTCATAGAGCGCGACGATATGTGCAAGGCGGTAGATAGCGGCACTATCCATCTATCCTTCTCCCCTCATCATACAGCAAAAACCTCATACATTGGTACCTAGGTAGTTTTCATATAGTCTCTACTTATAGTAGGTACATACACGTATTTAACTTGCTACTTCTACAGTAGAGCTTAAGTATCACAGGAACTTAGGCAGGTAGCTTGCCTATATTATCTACTTAGGTACCCTCAATATAATGTTAGTGTACGCTGTTCCATCGCAGCACTCGGTCCGAAGCGTTAGGTAACTAACGCACGAAACGGCAGCATGTTCCCGCATGTCTCATATTTAAGCAAGGAAAGGGATATAGAGTAACCTTCCTGCATCTACAGGTAACAGGGAAAGTCAACCTATGAGGGTAAGGGAATGACTGCCGATATCTGGCGGTCTATATCGTGTGGGACATGTAGTAGCTGACAAATGGAATATACCTAGGACAACATTGTGCCCCGTTGTCCGCAATTAAAACTTTAAAAGGTGGGCGATCCGGCCCCAGGTCGTCTCTATCCGCCTCCAGAGTCCACACCACCTTCGATTGCAACATACTGCCCCATATCACAACACACCCCTCAACTCATTACTTAGCCCTGACTAGAACTGCGACTGTCAACCGTCGACACCGGAACCTCATAGAATCCCTTCAACATGGCTCCTTTCGGCAAGATTTACACATACCCTAACAACCCGCGCGTCAACCGTGTAAGATAACCCTTCATTCCCTCCCCGGTTCTGATAACGAGCCCTTCATCCACAACCGCTAGTTATTGATAATGCCGTCTAGGCGCTGATAATGGCCGACTTGAACGGCCTAGAGATCGAAATCCCGCCATTCACCATGCGCCAGACCAACACCACTCCTGAATTCTTATCCAAGTTCGCGCTCGGCAAGGTTCCAGCCTTTGAGGCTGCCGATGGCTTCTGCGTAACTGAGAGCATTGCCATCGCCTCTTACATAGCGAAGTCTGGCCCGAAAGAAGGTAAACTACTTGGCACAGGTATGGTGTTCGCTGTTGCATGGCGTTTCATGGGACTAAATTCTCGGTCTATAGATGCTAAGACACAAGCCCTCATCACACAGTGGGCAAATTTCGCCGAGGGCGAATTATTCAACAACGCGTCCGTACCAATTGCCATGACAGTCTGTAAGTAATAACTGTTCACTGTCACTAATCAGGACGTCTCGTGGCATCGAACTCTTCGACAATGCAGTACTGACATATATGCTATCTAATTAGGGAAAATCGGCACCCTCGATGAGAAGCGCTTCAATGACCATGTTGTTGGTTTAAAGCGAGATGCCAAGTACCTCGAAGGTGCCCTTCAAGGTGGCAAGAAGTACCTCGTTGGAGACCAGCTGACGATGGCCGACTACATGGTGAGTCCTGTGGAGTCTTTAATCCTCCCTTCTTGCATATCTGAGAGCCATAAATTGCCTTAACAGGCATTTCTTGCTCCCGCTTCTCCTGCATGCTCCCAAAACTCTAAATATTGACTTCAGTGCTGTATAGGTTACCAGTTTCTTATACTACTCTTTCAAGTACTTGATTGATGCTGAGTGGCGCAAGGAACTACCAAACCTAGTAGCCTACATCAAAAATTTTGCTGATGCCCCAGAGCACAAGAAGTACTACGGCGAACTGGAACTATGCGAGAAGTGCATCACGGTCAATGACAAGTAAATAGACCTGTATGAGCTCTCACGGAATAATGAGAAGATTGGGACACGAGGGACAAAAGTTAGGTTCTAGTGAATACAATTTGTGACAAGGGCTTACGTAATAAGGTCTTGGAACAGTGTTCTATTCAGCTAATAATTCTCTTTGGATCTAAAGGGTCCTTGGCCTTCCGAATCCATCCTTGGATATAACCTCGCCCTTCGCCTCATATTTATAGACAGCCCTGGAGTCCGTGCCTTTGGCCTCTGGCCATTACCCCTCTGGCTGCCTCCGATCTAGTCCGTAATACGAGGCTTCTATGACTCTTACTAGTCTCGTGATAATCGCCGACCAATGGTTGCGGCTCCTCGAGGCTATATGTCTGGCCGGGAGGCTATATGTCTAGCCGGGAGGCTGTATGTCTGGCCGGGAGGCTGTATGTCTGGCCGGGAGGCTGTATGTCTGGCCGGAAGGCTGGCAGGCGTAGGCACCTGGCCTTGTCAGTGTGACACAATTTTAGTTCAAGTCCTATGACATTTATAGTGTCCGCTGCTTATCTATAACTCGACAATCAATGGAAATTTTGCAGTAAGGAGGCAGGTTAGCAAATGGAAATCCTCTATTATAATATATGAGCATATGGGAAGCCATATTTCCCTAGTTGCCTTCTATCCTTATAGGGGTAGGTTTTCGAAGTGGTTTTAGATGTAAATTGAGTTGTTTTAAGAATCGTTGGAGCCTGGGAAGGCTTAAGACTTAATTAACGAGTCTTTCAACTCCCAACTACTGTACCCTGAGGGTTAGTAGCTCACGTTTAACTTAGGAGACACCTTCGGTAATGAACCAATGATGTGGGCAATGATATGAGCTTGAGATAGCTTGTCGATATACGTCTTTCTCAGAGATGCTGGAATAAGTGCCGGACAAGGAGCGATGTGCCTAACATTAGTGTCTCAACACGCCCGGTTAGGTCAATCGGAAGAGCACGCGTGATCAATTCCTAGCTGATGAACAGAATCTTCAACCAAGAACACACAGCAACGCCTGTTAGCTTCGACCCCCGCATCAGGCTCAATTCCTGATGCCTCATAGGATAACTAGGAGTAGCAAACTCCTTCCCTTTTCCGGCTTTTATTTTCCCTCTCTTCATCGCTAAGCTTAGGGGAAAGACGAGGGCATCAAACATTTTAGATATTTAATCTAGATGAAATAGTTCTTCCACACAGTGCATATAAAAGTTGGCGGGTAGTTGATTTTTCCCACCGGGCGAGTCCTCTAGCTATTGTAGGCAAAACCTTACCCACAACAAATTTATTCTTAGCACCGACTCCACCCCACCTTCACAATGCTACCTTGAAGGGCCTGTAGGTACATGAGTCTATTACCCTCTATTACCGTCAAAACAAGCACAGGCAACGTGGCTGAGTGGTTAAAGCGTATGACTAGAATTTATGTGATAAATGTATCATATCCAGGCTTATCATATCCCTTCGGGGTCACAGGTTCGAGTCCTGTCGTTGTCGTCGGCATGTTGCGGTTGGTAACAACATCCGCAGACTTTGCATCATGGTCTGGTGGTCTAGTGGTATGATTCTCGCTTAGGGTACACCCTATGCTCAATTTGCGAGAGGTCCCGGGTTCAATCCCCGGCCAGACCCATTAACTTTTGCTGTTTCTTGTTTTATTGCTAGGTTAATTATAAATGTGTTTAATTAAGTGTTATCCATTGCTCGCTAGCTTTATAACAAGAAATATAGCTAGGAATATAGTTGTAGGTAGCTATTAATTAGCAAGGATCATAAGCCTTATTGATAAGGACCCCTAGAGGGTAGTGGCCACTGCCACTAGCCACTAGCAGTCCACAGCAACAGCCCCGCGCACACACTTAAATAGATCTGTATCTAAACTTAGAGCCTTACGCACCCACTTACTTAGTTCCACACACCTCAATACAGTATTACAGATCTATTTTGCCTGCCTTCGCAGACCCCGTGCCGCCCCCTATCACTTATATAAAAGGCCCATGGTTAAAGCTTAGTTAAAGAAGGAGAAGGAGAAGAAAGGTTATGTTGAAAAATGAAATCCTTAGTCAACAAAGGAAGACCCTTTAGCCTGAATGAGAATTATTAGGTCCCGCTAGATATCCTTCTTGAATCATATGAGCGGCAGGCTGGTAGTTAGGTCGCAAGGTTAGCAATTAGGGGCGAGGCTATTTAGACCAACCACCTAACGTGTCACATGTATGGGTACGTATTCTGTACCCGAAGGTTTAAGACACCCGATATCATGTAAATAATGATATGCGTGGCGGCAAACTACCAATATGAGGTTCGGGTGAAATCGGATCAAATCGGATCAGATCGGAAAGTCTGATCTAATATATTCCGAACTTCTGAGACAGTTTGCTTCCACAAAAATGCAGTCGGATATTTTGGGAAATTGTCGATTTAGTTGCCGACTTTGGGTGAGTCTATTCAGACGTAAAGACTGGAATCCGCCCGCCTTCGAAAGGGGGGAGGGAGCCAGAGATTTACATGCACCCCTTGACCACATTGAAGATTATTACTCCTAATTGAATATCATTCCAAGCCCTGCACAAGCATTTGTGACATAACAAGAGCGGGAATTGGACCCTGATGGCCTTTTTGACTGCATAGCAGATTATGATGCGATAAGAACATCCTTCCGAGTCCTTGAATACAAGGCTTGTCATGTCATGAAAACAGACAGTATGGTACTAATACACAGGGTTATTTATTCATTATCACCAAAGAAAGTAGTAGAGGAAGCAACAGAATCATTGAATGACGTCAAACTTTTTAGGTCATAAACTGAACTGCACTAACATCTATTGCAATATCATATCTCAAGTCGGCAATAAGGGGGAGGTGTGATGTGGAGATAGTTACGCCCTTCGATGACAGACCCAGCCACCGGTCACGGAACACCGTCACATTTCAGCAAAGTTCAACATCTTAGGACTTACGAAAGTGTCACGAATAGCTCCAAATCATTTATACACAAACCCATCGGCGGCCAGTGTAACAATTGACCCCGCCAAAATGAGCGAATCACAGACCCATTGGGTCATCGTCGCATTAGAGACCTTCTTCTGCCCGCTGCCCGACTTCACTCTCCCCGAGGGTCATACCTGTGAATTCCGGGACTATGAGCGGACCAAACCGGAACAAATAGCGGAGCGGATTCACGACGCCGATATTGTAATAGACACACTCCTGCCGTTGACAGCGGAGATTCTGAGTGCAGAGGTAACCCCGCGCCTGAAGAGTACGATCACTGAAGTCCGATCCCTGTCGACCCAATTGCGCCCATACATGGTCAACGCAACCTGGAGCGTTCAATGCATGCCACAAAAACTAACTGTAAATATCGGATAGTGATATCTATAATTGCGTCAGGCACGGACATGGTGGACCTGGCAGCGTGCCGGGCTCGAGGAATAGTTGTGGGCAACACTCCTCACTGCAACGTCACAACAGTCACTGAGCATGTGCTCGCGCTTTATTTCGCAACGCGCCGCTCCATCATGCTCACGAATGCACTCGCACGGGCTGGCGACTGGGTCACCAAGAGATCACAGCAGGCCACCATGAACGGTCCCGATGGTAAACCGCCGAGGACCTGCCGCGACGAGCTTGTGGGCATTATCGGTTACGGCGCAATCGGAAGGAATATCGAGTCGACGGCTAAATTGCTGGGCATGAAGACCGTTGTCGCGGGGCGCAAAGGTGCCCCAGCACCAGAGGGTCGCGTTCCGTTCGAGACAGTGATCCGCGAATCATCAGTCCTGATAGTCTGCCTTCCACGCTCGCCCGAGACCCTCAATCTCATCTCTGGGACCGAGTTTGATCAGATGAAGCCTTACGGGCTGCTGATCAACGTGTCGCGAGGCGGAATTGTGGACGAGAACGCTCTTCTCTCTGCGTTGAGGGAAGGGAAAATCGCGGGGGCGGGTACCGACGTTTATTCTCAGGAGCCGGCGGATTCATCCAACAACGTTTTGCTCGCTCCAGACACGGTGGACCTCAATTTGGTGACAACACCACATGTGGCCTGGTACGCGGAAGAAACTTTCGAAAATTACAGTCGAGCATGTAGAGCGAACGTCGCCGGCTTTGTGACAACACGAAAGCCCGAGCATCCGGTTTCCTAGTGTTGCTGGGGTTTTTTAGGGGTGAGCATGGGAATGCGGGCGTGGAGAAGATATGAGATTCGACATATATATGATGTGATGATATCACCTGTTAGACGTATCAATGGCTAGCTATAGTGGGATATAGACTTTGATGTTTCGTTTATAGAATCGTCTTGTTGGAATATCTAGGCATCTGTATGATGGGGGAAGGGGGGGGAACGAAAATTCTTGGCTATAGCACCACTCTTGCTTAATCCCCACGTAAATATGAAATATGTGACTGTGAAAGAATTGCTTTGGTATTATATTCGTTAAATGATGAGACTACCTATATGCACCCATATTGGTACCGCCTACCAAGTTAATGTGAAGCGGTGCTGAGCATGCTTATTGTTAACTACTAAGTAGGTACTAACTTACTTAGTCTACAGTAGGTCTAGCTAGTTGCCTTGATCTGTCGATGCGCTGCATATTCACTCGGAGATTTTGCCCCGGGCGCCCTGCAAAACCAGATCAGGTATTCTGTCGTCATCTTACGAAGGCACTGTATTTACAAGGACCAATCAAATCATGACATTCCGGACGTATATCCCCAAAACGGTAATGAACGGCCACCAGTATCAAAATGTGGTCAGGGCAGGAGTAGTCTAGGATCCGGGCTGTCTGGGGTAGACCCAGTTGTCAGCCTGAAAGGGCGATGTCCACTTCATAGCAGGTTCATAGTGTAGTATACTTCATAATCTGTTTATGAGTATTCATTCATTATGTAAGGGATGATGATGTAGTTAAACTGGGGCCCAGCTCAATCCCTGTCACCAAGCCGTTGAAGGCATTTAGGGACAGTTACAGCCCATTGGAATCACCCTTGACCAGCGCCGGGCCAGTATCGCGATTCGACCGTTGATCATACTACAGCTGGGTGGCAAGAGGTGATAAACCCCGGGAGAGCACTCTTATCCCTCCCTTGTAAAGGATTCCATAGAAAATCAAGAGCCTGGTTGTGACTTAATGTTCTCCATGTTACCCCTCCGTGCCACCTTTTTATCATGCGAAGCCCGAAAAGTCGATCATAAGAAATGACATATTCTCGCTATTATACTCACTGTGAAAACATCTCGTTATGACATCCCTCCGAGCTCGCCATACCATTTCAGATCCAGGCAAACAGCGTCCAAACACCGAACGGCCGTGTTTCAACTCCCAAGTCACCTCCGACAGGTTAGAAGAGGGCTCAAAATTTGTGGCGTTCCCAATGAGCAGCAAGATCCGGAAAGGAAGGAAGTCGGTGTTTCGAGAAATTGGACTGGGGCTTGATGAAGATAGCATAGAGGCACCCGCCGGTAGGCAGAGCTGTAAGGAGAAACAGCACAGCGAAACTACAATGCGACCGCCAGAACCGACAACTTCAGCGTATGAACGCAGACATTCCGATGGGGAGAAGTCAACGCGGGAAAAGTCGCGATGGTTCTCGAGATTCATACCTGAAAAACGGCCGCAGATCAAATCAGCTGCGACTACGCCTCCCAATGCAACAACCGGGATACACAGAATCACCATGGTCGCCTTGTTGATTGCCGTAGTCCTTCCTGCCATAGGTTATAATAGTGGCCGTCGGAAGGTTGAAGTCAACGGCGCAGATGCCAGTGTGATTCGGGAACCCATAGTCAGATCTGGACTAGAAAATCGTGCAAATAGCCCAACAGATGTGTGCAAGAGATGGGCTGCACAAAGTAAGCAGACCAAGTACGATACGTACGCAAGGCAAACCATATACTAATAGTAACAGGCGCCATTTTGAACGGAACACTTTATTACTATGGTGGTCGAGCGAATATAACTGCTGATCAGTCGAGCAGTACATGGAGTACGTATTTAATCGCCTCTACGATACGTTCATCGGCCTGGCATTAATGATGAGCAGACAACGACTTCATTATGGTGGATCTAACGAAGTCTTGGGATGTTAGCTCTCCTTCTGTAAGCGGGCTCCCTCAACCCGACGGCCCGCCAGCTGTGTCATTGGGATATCTCTGGAACGACTTCGACCATCTGTTTCTATACGGGGGCGAGTTTGACTACCCGTCGTCCAATCCATCGCCTATCTCAACCTGGATGTACGACATAGCTTCTTCCACCTGGACTGAACTAAAAAATCCGACAACGTCTGCTGGTCAGTATTCCGACGCGGGAGGCGCGCCCGTACAGCGTGCAGCAGAAGGAGCTGGAGTATCTGTGCCCGAATTGGGTTTGAGCTGGTATTTTGGTGGTCATCTCGATTGGGGAACTACACCAGGCTGGTCGAATCAAATTCCTCGGGTGTACCTAAAGAGTCTCCTCGAATTCACACACCCGGGTTACTCAAACGTG